AAAAATATACCAAATTTTGATTAATTTTAACTTTTTAATCAAAAATTTAATAAAATTAAAGTTTGGTTTAGGATTAGGGTTAAAATTTAGGTTTAGATTTAGAGTTAGATTTAGTATAAGTCTAGGATAGATTTAGAGTAGATTTAAAATAGATTTAGAGTAAATAAAATTAAAATTCAATTTAGGATTAGGGTTAGAATTTAGATTTAGGGTTAGGGTTAAATTTAGTATAAGTTTAGAGTAAATTTAGAGTAGGTTTAGGGTAGGTTTATAGTATATTAAATTAAAGTTCAGTTTAATATTAGAGTTAGAGTTTAGGTTTAGGTTTAGGTTTAATTTAATATTTATTTAGATTAGATTTAGGGTAGATTTAGGATAGGTTTAAAGTATATAAAATTAAAGTTCAGTTTAGAATTAGGGTTAGAGTTTAGATTTAGATTTAAAGTTAGATTTAGTATAGAATTAAATTAGGTTTAAGGTAGATTTAAAATACATTTAAGATAAGTTTTGAGTATATTTAAAATTAGTTTGAGTTTAATTTTAAGATTTATTAATTTTATTATAATTTAAAAATAAATTATATATAATATATATATTAATAGCATATATCTTAAGCATTTATAATTAATTTTTTTATATTAATAAATGCTTTTTATTAATGCTTTTAATAAATAGACTATTTTATTAATATAAATTATATTTCAAATCTACAAATTAAAACTTTAAAACTATTATTTTAATATAAATTTAAATTCATATAACCCAAACCTAACTTTAACTACTATTGGCTAATACGAGGTTGTTACATATAATAGGTTGTTACAAAAATATTTATTCTACTTTAAATACTAATAAATAAATAACCAAAATTAACAAATATTTAGATACTAAAAAAATTAAAACCGAGCCTCCGGAGCAAAGCCCGGGTTTGAGAGCTAGTATCAATTATAATCAAGTATCACAAAAGAAAAAAAAAAATTAACCAAAATATATAATTATAAGCCAATCGTCGCTTCAAAAAAAATTCCAAAATCAATTTTTATTTTGATAAAATCTCTAACTGTATTATAAAATTGATGATTTGATTGGTTGATGATCAATTGACTTGCATGACCCTGGATCGTCGATCCTTTTTGGGTCGCACAAATAAGTAAATCCCTTCTTGAAGATCATTCAACAACGGTAATAACAAATTAACTGAAAATGTTATCAGTAGGCATAAAATCTTTAATACATGAACATGAAATAAATCTAGAGATCAATCGGCTCGTTCGGCTCTATTAACTAATAATTTTTATTACAATTAATATTAATATACGAACCGGACCAAGTCGTTTGCATCTCCAAATAAACTGTACAACGTAATTATTAATCAATACTTTGTGTCCTATCATTTCGAACGGTTTATTGCAGGAAATAAAATCCCTTTCCCCCTTATAATACGTCCCGTGACGTATAATCATCATATAGTGTCCTAATCTTATTAACTTAAAAAAAATTAAGTTCCATAGAAGCCCTAAAGAAATAAATTATTTTACAAGATACAGAAAAAGATTCATACTGTAAATTAAACCATTATGTTTAAAAAAATTCGTTATATAAAAAACATCGATTGGCATAATATCAATCCTCAGCGACTTTTCTTGGTCGAACGTCGTTTCGAATGGGAATCTTTAAACCTTGTTTTGCAAAGGCTTTCGAAAGCTCTGTAGATTCTAATATATTATCCAAAGTATTCAAATTAATTTTAATTGATTAAACGTGATCATATACATCCGTAATCAACCTTACCGGTCATTCCGGGAAACTTCTTAGCCGAATATACAGTAAACGGGTTAGAGAATGCAGTGGAAATAATGTCCGTTCTTGTATCTATCAAACGGTCTTCGCTAAAGTTCAAAAAACGCGATTTATTAAATATATATATTGCATGAGGATAATATATACATGGGTAAAATAATTATTGAATAAAGGTATACTGACGTTCCTAATTTCATTAATGAAAACTTTAGTGTATATTTGCCTTCCGTACGTATAGAAAGATCAGGAAAACAAAAGTAACAGCCCGGTTCTCCATCCGTATTTTTTAGAATGGCCGGAGATGAAACAAGGGAACCCATAAGTACGCGCGTGATTTTGGGTGGGTTACTAATTACATTGCGTTCCTCTTTACAATCTTCGGACCACAGAGTGACATGAAGGACGAAAAATGGATTCTGTAACATACTGAGATCAACAATGAAAGAAAATTTTATTATTATGATAAATTTTATCTAATTCAATAAAGTTGATGAATTATAAAAAACCTTAAGCTCGTGCTAATAGGGAAAAAATCAAAACAACGAATGATCATATAGAGATTTTATATAAATATAAGGAAAACTGAATAAATGAATCAATTTAATCACCTGGAATCCAGATTTCCGTTTTCATCATTCACCACTAACTGTACGATCGGCGGTGGATCGATTGGACGTCGATCTTTTTCGCCGAAACCGCACATACGAGCACGTAGCGGCTGTTGACAAACTATCAACTTATATGTTCTATATGAAAATCGTGTAATTTTATCTTGTGTCAATGAAGAATGACAAATAATCAATCTAATGTGAGTTGATTAACCGCAATAGTCCAAGAAAGTCACCGAGTATAATGATCTCAAGGATCAATTATGCCAAATTTATTCGTATAAAGATCCAACTTTGCGACAACAGAAAATTTATCATGCTTTCGGAGAGGCGTACCTTTTGTCCTCCTCCTCTCCGGCTGGAACGTCAAAGGTACCGAAACGATCTTTCCTATACCTTATCCGTGGATTTGACGATACAGGTATTGAATTCTTAGCGGGAGAGGGAATTTTATTTTTATCAGCTTCATAAGTCGTTGCGGAAATTGATGTATCAGCATTATTCGGTTTTGTTCTTTTTGAATTACGGTCTTGATATTCATCCGAATGTGGTACTGGTACATTTGGATTCATTGTAGTTGGGAGATATGTGGCAAAGTGTGGTGGAGGATGATAATATATAGGATGATGTGGAGGATAGTATCCTTCGGGTGGAGGAGGATATTCGCCACGCCCAACGCCGTGGTAATCGGTTCTCGGTACTATGGCTTGTTGATGGTGTGACGGAGTATTTCCATGTTGACTATACATTATGTAAAAAAAATAAAAATTTGGATTACGGAGAGGATTTGGTACTAAAAGAAAAGCAAAAAAATTGGTTCTGGAGCCCTAAATGTATATGATTGTAAAATATGAAACACCAAGGGATAAAAATTCGGGTGGTTGTGGGTTTATTTATACGAAAGCAGGCAGTGCCATCTATGCAGGTATGCAGTCTTCTCAACAATGAGAATATCTTATATTTTGTATATATAAAAAACAAACTATTAATTCTTATATAAAACAGGGAGTGTAAACGTTCTATCAATTTCCCCCCTGGGAACATGTTGAACAATGAAATAATGAATATATATATATATATATATATCGTACTACACCACAACCGAAATTAAATCTGTATGAGACCGGAAAAACACCAATCCGGATTTACTGAACCTAAGCCCCATGCAAATAGAAAACCTATTTTACAAATTCGCATCTGATTGACTTCAATTGTACTAAGTCCTACTTTGCTCGTCT